GAAAAATTTAAGGAAGGTAAGAGTTGCATGGCGACTGAGAAGTCTTGATCCATGGTCTTGGGAAAGCTGTCCACATCTAGAATACTGTCTGCTTCTGGGAAGAAACTTCTCCTGTTGGCTTTATCTTAAGGTCTCCAATGGATGTGCAGTTCTAAGAGTCTGAATGGGCCCTTTTGAGTTGTGAGATGTAAACCCAAAGTTCAAGGCCCTGACGTTTTGCTGAAGAGTAGGTGATAAGAAGAACTTGGTATGGTCCCCTCCAATGGGGCTCCATGGCAGTCTTTCTCAGATATAGTCTCCAGATAACCTGATCTCTGGGTTCTAGGTTGTGAAGGGTTTGATTGTCCTCAGTGGAGAGATCTTGAAAAGCTTCCTTTACCTGGTGAAAATATACTTTGGCATAATGCATTAAAACCTTGTAGCATTTAGTTATGTCAGAGTTTAGGAGAGTAGAAAATAAATGAGGTTCTATTATTAGGTCATAGGCCTTCCAGTAACTATTTCATAAGGGATCAATCTATGATGTATTACAGCAGTGGTCCCTATTATGGAATTAGACTTCCAGACTCATTTGTTCTCATGACCTGTTTTACTTTAACCCAGTCATGTGATTCAAGAACCAAGACTAATGAGTATATTACAAGACAAGTTTGCACCAAAAGCCCAAACAGATTTTCTTGCAAATTGACCTATGTGCCAGGGTACTACAGCACTGTTTTTTTTCCTGAGATGGAGTCTTGCTCTGTCGCCCAGCCTGGAGTACAGTGGCACAACCTCAGCTCACGGCAACCTCTGCCTCCCAGATTCCAGCGATTCTCCTGCCTCAGCCTCCTGAGTAGCTGGGATTACAGGTGCGTGCCACCACACCCAGGTAATTTTTGTATTTTTAGTAGAGACAGGGTTTTACCATGTTGGTCAGGCTGGTCTCAAACTCCTGACCTCGTGATCCGCCCGCCTCAGCCTCCCAAAGTGCTGAGATTACAGGCGTGAGCCACCATGCCTGGCCAGCGCTCTTTTAACCTATAATAACTCTACCTCAGATCCTTGGGCAGAAACTGCTAATTCCAACATTCCTAGTTGGAATTAGGAATACATTCGTAGTAATGTATTCATGAACAATAGAACTGAAAAAAGGGTCTTGTGTGCACTCATGGGGTATACTTTTCTTTGTGGAGTTGTAGCCAACCTTACGCTTGGGCAACCCTCATACCTTGAAGGATGGAAAATGATGGACCAACGCAGGTTAGGAATTATAATGGTACCTTTGTTGCTCCATAATCAGTCAGAAACAGAACACTGGTCTGCTCTTCCTAAACTACATCATAGGTTAAAAAGAACATCATCAGGAGACTTTAACCCTTCTGGATGAGCATGATATGTTAGATCCCTTTTTCCATAGCTTGGTGTAAACATGAATGAGGCAATGATTTAAAATGTACCTCTCACAGTAGGCTCTATAGCAGATTCTACTGCAAAGGTTATGATTGCACAATAGACTTCCAATATTCTCGCTAAAGTTGTACTAGATAATAGAATTGCTCTAGATTACCTACAGGCTGAACAGGGAGAAGTCTGTGCAATTGCCAACACTTCTGGTTACATGGAACTATATCTATTATTTTAGAAAATTGAGAGACTGACCAAAAGTAGGGGAATTGTTAAACTAGATTTGACCTGAAGAAGTCTCCCTTTGAGTTTTTACATGATGACCCGCAATCCGACTTAGTAGGCAAACAAACTGAAACCTTGTTAGGGTCCACCCAACTGGACTGTTTCTCCCTCCCACAGACCTAAGCCCCAAAGGCCAAAAGTAAAACCCCCCACCCCAAACCCACCTGTAACTGTCTGACCAGAGCCAGCTGTTCCAGGATGCGGTCAAGACGTCTACCTTACACAACAGAACTGGCAAGAAAAACATCTACAGGAAGCAGTCAGACACCTGGCACAAAGGACCCCCCACTCTGTTTTCTTTTTCCTTCACCCTAACCCAGTTCTACGCCCTATAAAACCTTGCAATAGCCTATAAGTGGGACTGCCTCCTCTGCTCTTGTCAGGAGGTAGCCTGGCAGGACTGACAATAAATCAGTTTGCCTGAACTTGGTTCTATTGGCCTCATTCCTTTCTCGGCTGTCCTTCCAATTATCCCTTACAAACCTAACTTCAGAATTATCCTTTGTAACAAATAGCTGAGTCTCAGCCAATCACGGTAACTGAGCTTCAGTCAATCACAGGCAGCCAAATGTTCACAAACACCAGCTGTAAACAATCCAGCTGTTTCTGTACCTCACTTCTGTTTTCCATGTGTCACTTTCTGTTTTCTGTCCGTAAGTGTTTGGGACCACAGTGCAGCCAGAGTTCCTCTGATCAGTTCTAAAGGCTGCCCAATTCTAAAATTGCATATAAAATCCAACTAAGATCTTTAAACTAAATTTGTTGAAGTTTTGAAATTTGGCATCTTTCTTCCACAAGCTCTCTGTATCTGAACTGTCAGAGTCTTTCTGGGCCTTGGGTTCCTGTGCCTGTCTGTCTGTCTGTCTGTCTGTCTGTCTGTGTGCCTCTCCCATCAGACTGGGATCTCAGGCAGGCAGAGACTTGCCTGGCTCTGATTCTTTCCTCAGTGCCCAGTACCGGCTGTGCACATGGTGGGGGTTCAGGAAGGGTGTGATCCAGGACACCCACCTTGTGGAGGAAGGCAGCAAACCTGCTATTGAGGCACTTGATCTTCTCCTTCTCCTCCTGCTTTATGCACCATGCAATTTCCACGTCGAGGGGCATGAGGAGGTTCTCATTGGCCAACACAATGGTGATGCAGGCAGTGCTGGGCCCACATGTGCTGCCAGAGTGGTAGCTGAATCTGTGTTCACAGGAACCAGTGCCAAAGCCCCCAGTGAGGTCACGGTAGCAGGCGCTGGCCGTGATGCAGCAGCAACCAGACCAGGGCCCACCGGGCAAGATGCAGCTGAGAGCTGGGTCATAACCATATCTCTGAGTGGTTGCCCAGGACCTGGATTTGCAGACTCCACTCTGGAGCCCAGGCAAGACAATCTACAAGTCATGGTGACTCTGCTGGTGGACAAGAAGCCAGAGGAAGAAGAAAAGGACTCTGATCTCTCCCTCACTGCTAGCACCTTTTACAAACCTGGGCACCTGGGTCTGTCTGCCTCCCCACGTGGAGAGGCCATATTGTCACCTTTATGAGCCTGGGAAATTTCACAGTCATTTCTCCTCCCTCCTGGGGTAACATCATCAATATGGAACTTTGGAAAATCCTACACTCAGGCAATTCTGAAACGTTGGCAGCATTTCTTCCACAGCTGAGGGCTGACAGTGCCCAGGAGTCAAGGTCAACCAACACCTGTGAACTCCACACTTTGTGAGGTAATTGTGGAGCCGGGGGGAAGCCAGGTTGGGACACTTCCTTTCAGGTGGTTAGCTGAGCTCACAACCTCACAGTTTTTCAGTTTGGGCCATCAGGTGAGCTGTAACCAGGGACAAAGGACAGGCCATCCTCACTCCGGGTGGTGAGTCCTGGCTCCTTCAAGTGGAAGAGCCTTCCAGGTTCTCCCCAGGCAGGGCCCCAGGGTTGAGTCCTAAAGGCAGCCTGTGACACCTGCCTCCTATCATGGCCAGTAGGAGATTGTGTCTACCTCTACCAAAACATGGAAGAGTCAACCACACAACCAAAAATGTTTTGTCCAGCTCTTCTTGCCACAGGAGCCACGAAGTGGGTATGTGGGGGTTCAGTCAGGCTGATGGGAAAAATTTTAGTTATAATAGCCACAAAGCCTCTTGGAAGGCCTGAGAGTTGGCATAACTTCAGTAATCAATCTGGCTGAAGGCAGTCTAGTCCCTTTACCTTAAATTAAATAGATTAAAAGTAAATACAAAGGAATGTGGGGGAGTTTATCTAACTGGCTTGTTTACTCATGTGGTCCTAAGACTAACCTTTGATCTACAAGGGTGCTTAATGGCTTTCTACTGGGAGGTTCACAATGTCAATTACCCTCTAGTGGTGTTGACTCAAGCCTTTGTCAATTAATCTTTACTGAATAAATGCAAGTCTCGCTGGCTAGTCTAGGCCATGGTCGCAACTGTTTACAGCACTCTCCAGGGAGTCTGTAAGCGACCCGGACTCTCAGTCGACCAACAAGCGTAGTATCTGCATCAGTGCAAGTTATTCATCCATCATTGGGTCAGGGTCTGTGGGACAGACCCCAGCATGGGTGGATGTGTGTAAGCATCTGGTTTGAGAGTTCCGAGTATCTGGATCCCTCTGCCTGCCCACCCACCTCCCTTCCTTCCCATGTGCCTTTAATATTTCTCACCCCTACTCGACAGTGTCTCCCTCAACTCCACCAGAAGCACAGGGCCACGCTCTCCAGTCTCTTGCAAAGGCTCCCTCTTTATCAGAGGTACTCCTCAAGAGAGCTTCTCCCATCAGCTTTCAGACAGGCCCAAGGAACCTAACTGAGACATGGGAGTGGAGGTCTCCAGCCAGGAGAGCATCAGTGTGTAGGAAGCCACAGCCCCCAGACCTGAAAGAGCAGGGCAGGGGGCTGGGGGGCTCTGGATGGTGACCAGGGCAGTGAAATAACAACAGTACCCAACAGTGACTAGAATGTACAGACCACTTACTATACAGTAGGCAGCATGCTAGTGCTTTACACATACCTCACCTGATCCTTGCCATGTCTCTGGCAAGTTCTATTACCTCAGTTCTAGATGCAAAAGAAACAGAGGCTCAGAGAGGTTGTGTGCAAGTTTTCACTCACATTGTAAGTGGCAGAGCCCAGTTGTGTCTGATTCCAGAGACACTTTTGATCACTATACCATAAAGAATGAAGAAATGTATTTCTGAAATGGACACACTGGTGTTCAAGATGTTTCATAACGAAGTTACCAGAAGAACACACACGCGCATGTGCACACGCACACACTTTTACACATATACACTCTCTGTGTACTATCCCCATGTCCCGTTCACTCACACACCTCTGAGCATGACCCACTGCAGGTCAAGAACCTCCAGCACTTCACTTGACATTCTAAGCCCACCCTGCCCATCCACCATATCCACCGTGCAGCCTCAGCCAGACTCCTTCCCCCTGCCCTTGCCAACCCCTATTTTTCAGCCAAAGCAGATGACCCACTATTCCCTTCACATCCGCTGGCCTCCCTTGCTTTGTGTCTTTGCTTACACCATTCCCTCTGCCCGAATCCTCCCCTCTCTCATCTCAGCACTTTCAAGTCCTCACCTTCTTCAGGCCAAACCAAAGTGTCATCTCCAAGGACCTTGCTCTGACCCCTGGTCCCAAGCTCCCATGGCATGGTGTTGCTCCACTATAGCCAGACCCCCTGCGGCTTTGCACTAGGGTCCTCTGTATGCATGCCTGTGCTGTCTGAGGACTCCAGTCTCTCCTTCATGCTCTGAGCCTGGTTCCTGATGGGTATTTAGTAGATGTTTTCTTCCTGCCTTGAACTGGCCCCTGGGACTCACTGGGAGGTTAAAGAAAAGGCATGATAACCCAAACAGAACACTAGCTTTTCACTGATAGACTGGTATATTGGTGACAAAAGGGGCTGAGGGGGTGTTTTCTAGAAGATCTGGCTGACAACGAAGAAGCCCTCCTCTTCCCTGGCACTTGTGACAACCAACCCTCTCTATGAAGAAGTATGTCCTTAATTGTTTCTGAAATTTCTCAGGCTTCAGCCCGTTTCTCTCCCCTGAGTTCCAAGAATAATAAAAGACCACAAGGGATCATGTTTCCCTGAGGCTGGGCCAAGGATTAGCACTAACATTGCAGAAGACCACTGTGATCTAGATGTCAAACCTCTCCCTTCCAGCCCCTTCACATTGTTTGCTTAGCGGGAACAATGTAGCCTGCAGCTCTTCTGTTTCTCTGGATTTTAAAAGCACGTAATTATCTGTGTGGACAAAGGCTGATTATTAGCATCCTCATTGATTGTAATAGCATAGAGAGTCCAGTCTATCCACCCACCAGAACCCAGAAACGGATCCAAGCAAGAATCATGTAAGTGCCTTCATAAGTCTAATTTAAATCCTCCATGCTTCAGGGTAAGTCCGTATCCTCTCGTTTCCTCTCGTCCGGGAGACATCAAGGGAACACTCCTCCAATACTACTTATTCTCAAAAGAAAATTGGAATCAAAATACATAATCCTGAAGCCAAGCATTAGTCACACAGCTGGTGACTGACACAGCAGGAGCACCGTCATCTTGGACAAACACCGTCACTTTAAGTTCCAGCTCCCTTTCTAGCCTCATGCATTTCAAGGAAATCACTTCTCTTCTAACTACAAGCAGACAGAAGGAGCAGGCACTAAAACACAGATAAGACAGCTCAGGCACAGAGGGAAGTAGGAGGAAAGTCTCGTGGGTAACCGCCAAACTTCACCCTCATACAATGGGCCCCAGTAAAACAGTGGGCCTTAATAAGCACATTCCTTTCCCTTCAGGTGCACTAAGCTAGAGAAGCTGAAAGCAGACTCGGGGGATACGCCTGAAGCTGCAGAAAGATGTTTGGGAACAGACACACACCTCCCCCTCCCAGATAAGCACAACAAAGACACAGAAG